GGCCGAGTCAGGTGGCTTGTTGACCTACGAGAGTTAAACAAAAGAATAAAACGACCTCAGTTTAATGTCCCCAAAATCCAAGACATCATGAACCGAAGAACGCGTTATGATCACTTCACTAAGATTGATCTTTCTATGATGTTCTATTGCTTTGAATTGGATGAGGAGAGCCAGAAAATATGCACTCTCACTACCACCMATGGCAATTACCGATGCTTACGGCTACCGATGGGACTCAAGTCATCKCCAGACTATGCCCAAGCCTTCATCACAAGGATCCTATCTGGTCTGGATGTTGAGGTCTATATTGACGATATGGGAATTTGGTCACAAGGACCATTCAGCAAACATCTTTCCCTGGTTGACCCAGTCTTGCAACGACTGGCCTCCAATGGGATGAAATGCAATCCGCTCAAGTGTGAGTGGGCAGAGAAGGAGTCTGACTTCCTTGGCTATTGGCTCACTCCTGTKGGAGTCAAGCCATGGCAAAAGAAAGTAGATGGAATCCTCAAGATGGGAATTCCACAAAACCAATCACAGGTCAGGTCCTTCCTGGGTGCAGTCAACTATTACAAATCTATGTGGCCCCGGCGCTCACATGTGTTGGCCCCACTAACAGCCCTCACAGGCTCAGGACCTTACATCTGGACCCCAGCATGTAATCAGGCCTTTCAGGAAATGAAAGCTCTCCTTGCACATGATGCTATCAACACCTTTGCTGATTTAAACAAACCCTTCCATATTTACACTGATGCGTCTGATTATCAGCTCGGAGCTGCMATCCTTCAACAGGAACGACCAATTGCATACTGGTCTAAAAAACTCAACAAGACTCAAATGAACTACACCGCAATGGAAAAGGAGCTTTTAGCTATCATCCTGTGCCTCAAAGAGTATCGGAACATGCTCTAGAAAGCTTGTCCCTCACAAAGAAACTAATGCAAATGTCACTCCTGAAGAACCAGCTGCAGAGGAAGAACCCCCGGTCGAAAATATTGAAGATATGATTGCTACAGTTTAATAGTAGTAATACTGGAGGCAGTTTACTGTGTGGGATAATGCAACGGATACGTACGTACTGTATTGGAAGTATACGTACGATACGATACGAAGCTCCGAAGAAAGGAATGAAGGATCATACCATTCCTACGTACCTATCGTAAGGTACGTTTCCTATGTATGTATCATAGGATCCAATATAA